GCAGAAGGAAACACTTATTTGCAGAAGGAAGGTCAGGAACACAGACAAACACATAGGCAGACACTTACATCTAGAGTTCATTTGTACACAGATCCTTCTCCTGCAGGACTCATCCAGTGCTGCACAGCCCCAGCTGCTGTAGTTCCAGGAGCTCCCATCCATCCAGTAGAAACGTCTGCTCTGGAATTATATAAACCCATAAAATGATTTAAATACATAATATACCAACCAAACTGTTTTGATCTCTCTGACTTTTCTCACCAGAATGGCAGATTACAGGCACTCTTTGATTCACAAAGCTGAGGATCCTAAATGTGCTGCAACCCTTCACTTTATTAGAGTTACTTTTGGGACATCATTGCACTGTGTTTGTGCTCCACTGTGTCAGGTAATTCTCTACATATGTAAGGCCAGCCCTGATTACCCTACAACTGGTAACCTGTAGACATGACCTGTGTTTAGAGGTCGACACTCTATTCTTTTTCTTTTGAGCAGAAAGACCAAGCCAACACAAAAGCTGGATGAACTTAAAATTTACACATCCTGTAATAGCTGATTATGGTTGGACTGTAATGATTTGGTCTATGGAAGATCTACACCTAAAACCAGACCTCTTACTCACTACCAAAACTTTATTATATTCTCATGTAGAATGCCTGTCTTCATAGAAGCTTCATGTTATACTGAAGTAATATTCTTGATGTTTTAAGACAATTGCTGAAAGCATACATTATGGTATGTCTCAGGGTAAATAGAGGAAAAGACTAGTTTTCCTTAGATTCTTCCAAATGAAACCCATAGAGAAAGGAAAATACACTTGGAGTCACCCTAATAAATTTAGATGTACATTGTAGCCCCAAAAAACTTTTTCAGTTGATTTTGTTTTTCAGACCAGTTGAAATAATTGCTAGGATTAGAAATAGAGTAAAGATCTTGTTGTGAGTTATAGCAAAGGCAAAAACGTTTCACGCTGTTTGGAAGAGTGGTCATAATTAAGAATCCTAGTCTAATACACTATATAGCTTCACTGAAGGTATTATAAAGGACATCTCAAACCCTAAATCTCCTTTGTCAATTCTCTTTCCTTTTCTTTTTATAAACCTCATGCCTCCACATTTGTCATCAACTTGTTTTTTATGCACGTTTGTGAAAAACACCAGAAACTTAACAGTTAGTAAATTGTATATGTTGAAGAACTCTTACTGACCTGTGTCAATTTTAGGGCTAGTAAGCAGTGGTGTATCACTACCTCCCTTGGTCCAGTTAGAAGTTATATCCTTTAAAATGAAATTGCTCTTTCCTACTCCTCTTAAGCCAAATAGAAGTGTTTCTAGGAATGTTTTCAGACCAAGCCCTGTAGTTCATCACATTTTGTCACACCTCCTAAAAAACGTCTGCTGGAACATCAGGGATTCTACCCTCCAACAGTTCTGCTTGGGAAATTGTGGATTTACTCTACCTATACTATTTTGCCCTGGCTTTGTACAGCTGATTTGAAATGGTATTAATGGAGAAGTAAGTCCTTACCCCTCGGATGCGCTGACCCCCAGTCCATATACTGGGTCTGTGGCAGTTCCCTCTTGCCACTACAGCCTGAACTACGTGATTCTGACCACTTGAATGGATGGAGATCAAATGTCCTTTCCTGGCAGCATGGCGACATGCTCTCTGAAAGACAGATAAGGCACTAAGCATCAGCACATTAAAACAAATACATGTAGCTGATCTCCTATGTATGTAAGAAATAAAAATGAGATCATTTATAGCTAATTTTTTTAGTTTTATAATGGTAGAAAAGGAACAAATGTGCTTCTGTATTAAAGATGGTTGAACATAGACCAGTTTTCATAGGTCTTTCCTGCACAAACTGCCCAACCTTCTGGTGAAATAAAAATACCCAATAGAAAAAAGCCATATACATTTCCTTTGACTACAGGATTATTAAAATACATGCTTAAGTACAGATGCAGTTCAAAGATATATGAAATATCTTATTTTCTTGATTGGATGATACCTTACACATTGTTAACTGGGGGGGGGGGGTTGTTTTTCTATTATTTCTATTAGATGATAATGCATTTTTATGATGTTCCTGATTGACATACATATCTTTATTATTGTCAAAAATATAGTATAACTTACCTATCTATTGTTGCTTATCTGCTGGTGCATTGTGCCTCTACTCAATCAATTACTACCTCTATCAGTCAGTGCATCTCTAGTTAATTCATGTGGAATGCACTAATGGTATGCACAGGGTCTTTACCTCAGCTGCGTAAAAGGTTCTGTGGACACCAAAATACTTGATACATTTGCTGCCCATTTGTTGCCAGCCCCCGGCACAGCGTCGAGGACAGTCCTCTTCGGTAGAGGTTGACAGCTCTGTGATAGAGAGTTTGAAAAGTGGCGTTAATAGACATATACAGTACTGACTAAAAACTAAATTAACAATGCACTGAGACAGAGAGGTTAATACAGACACATTTACTGACTGGACACTACAGGATATCAGCACCACACTGAGTTAGAGAGGAATTAATAGAGACACACTGACTAACTTCACACTACAGTACATTAACACTGCACTGAGAGAGAGGGGTTAATGCAGATACACTGGATGCAATAAAGCATTAACACTGCACTGAGAGAGAAGGAAAGAGAGCTCAGATCAGGATCCTAACCTATAAAAAAATTAGACTATGATGGCTGACATTCAGTATCTTACAATTGTGCAGCATCTAATGTATATTTCCCAGGTTAGACATTTTATGGGTTTATGAATCGCCGTATCAAACAGTAATGGACTGGGTCTGTCTGCCCTACCTTTGGTGGCACACATGCCTACAGCCCCCAGGGCGAGCAGCAGAAAAATTGTCTTCATTTCTGAATCAGTTCTGGAACAGAAGAAGGGTGATCACACATCTGAAAGGTACTATGACAATGACAAAACACCAAGTCTGACATCAACTAAAGTTTATATTACATATACTTGCGTTTGGGAAGGCCAATGCACTGCTATTAATCAAATTTTAAGAACAGCAATTTTCATGTATACCATGGATTATCATGGTAAGGAAAATACCATAGATGTCTCATTGTTAATCACAGTTGTGCAGCACCACATTGTTCCTTTCATAAGAGATATCTTTTGTATCTCTTACTACAATTAATCAATGGATATAAAATCCTTTACAACAGAGTACAGTGAACTTAAGATCATCATTTGCACTATAGTACATTATAAAAAAGCTAAATAATCATTTATATTACTTTTTCTTTAGTATTTTGTCTATAGGATGTTATAAATACTCTTGCTGTTTGATTAGTCAGTTATAATAATGTGGTCTTTTAATGACATTTTTCTTTAAGTTTCAAACCTGCTGTATCTCAGTTCACTCTAAACCACTATGAACCATTTGTACCTGGCCACCCAGAGCCACCCAAAGCAGTTCTAGAGATACAAAACCTCAGCTGAGCTGTAGCAGATCTAGGGTGGAAATGCTTTCCAGCCACTCCTGAGACAGGCCAGCAGTTCTGCGAAAGTACCAAAGGACACTCAGAATACCTAGTAAAGAAAGAGTGAAAAGGATTGGCTCTCACCTGGTCAGCAGAGCCAACAGTGTATGTAGTCTCTCTGTCTCTCTGCTCACCTGGGCTCTTCTGTAAAATTTCCTCCAGATTCAAACTCTTTATATAGTGTGGAAAGAGGGAACTGAACTCAACAGTACAGAGGAGTGCCAAGCAGTTTGGCTCTGTGAGATGTTTCACAACCCAGCTTCTCTTATTTTATTAATATGAAGTCAGATTTTATTTATTGATACCAGCTATCAGATTGTGGTGCTTCTGTTTTTGGGGAGCATGGGCATCTTAAGAGTTTTGAAAGGGTTTCATGAGCAATTATCCCCTCAAGTCCCTCAATCTGCTGCACATCTGTAAATTTAATCCTTGAAAGAAAATGTAACCAAGTTCATCCTGACTTAAATGCACTCTGCACTTACAGTACTTTAATGAATATTAATTCAGTGAAGCTCACCTCCAAATTGATCAGCTTCAAATGCTTACAGAGAAAAGTGAGAGAAACCATGTACTGTAGCTGAATCTGCAATTCACATAACAATTTGCATTAACAAACCCATTATTTACATTTTGAGTGTTTGTACATTCAGAATACTTCACACTCTGCTGTTTGTACTTTTGCTGAAGCTTAATGTCATGTTTGCTGTAAACAGTACAGTACCTTTTCTATGCTTTACTACACTGACCTTTGAGTAAACTGTAGCCTACCACAAAACACATTTCTTAGAATCAAATAATGTGAAACATCATTGTATACTCAGGGTCCAGGAAAGTCAAACAAAGTAAAGGCATGTTTCTAAAAGCACATTTTTGTCTCAAAATCCCATGGCATGTTCAGTAAATAAGTAAACCTGTATGTGTGTAAGTACTATAAGTGTGAGTGTTAGGTAACAAATGTTGTCTGCTTAGTGGGTCTGCACTACCACTAACACTAACTTAATAGCAGCATTTTAAATTAAGCATCTACATTTTTCAAGCTATAAAATTACTTGCTATCACTCTTCTACAGGAAGAGATGTTAAGGCATTAAAAGGTCCAATCTGCTTTATTAAAAATTAGGTAAAAGTATTTAAGAGAAAACTGGGTAGAAAAGCTTGCATATTATCAAAAAATAATATTTAGATAATAATTTGTGAGTTCTTAGGTGAAACAGAACGGTATACTGTTTCTATGCCACAACCATAAATAGGTGCATCAACTATTTGCAGTGTCATATGCTGTTTAGTATTTTGACAGTCTGTTGTACTGGTTTTTTGACAATAGAGACTCTGAGGGATCTCATACATGGGTACTGTTATATCTGCTTCTCAGATGAGGTGTTTCTTTGTAATGGTCAGCAGCATGGTCCCAGAAGGGACACAGTGACTTGAGCTGGTGGCGAGGCACATTTCTGAGATGCTGATGTAGAGGCAAGTCATGGCTGGTGTAAGAAGTCTATTGCATTTTGTATCTACTTGTGGAAGTCTGATGGGTTTCAACTGGGTAGGGAACCTATCCTTTAAGGATGGGGATCCTATTTGCCTCTCGTGCATTACTGTGGCTGTGTTCTACCAGATAACAGACCAGAAAGTCATCCTGCCCATAATAACCCATTAGAGAATTTACTCTGGGTCACAGCACACCATAAGGCTGCAGAGGAACACAGTGTTTGTAATGGGTTTAAAGGGGTTAGATAAGAAAAGAGACCTCTAATTACGAGATTCCATTAGCTTTTTTTTATCTTTCTTCCAAACTCCCCTTAAAACAGAAATATAGGGGTGCAGAAATCCAGTAATTATGTTAAAGAATAATTTCATACTCTTTTTAGCAAAGATAAACTTTGGAAATTGAAAACGTAAATAAATTAAAGGAAATGGTGATTCCTGCTGGTGATTAAAGATTGTCATGTCTGAAAGGATTGATCTCTTAGCAGTATGCTTGTTTTTCCCTTTAAATTTGTCACTATTTCACACAAAGGCTAAACAAGTACATCAATGTACCAGCGCTCCTGGTGCAATAAAGTAAAGGGTGTTGAAAATCCTAACTAGTTACTTCTGAAACACCAGTATCTTGAAGGAGTAGGCTTTATCTCCTCTATGTATAGTAGTCACCAGCGCCGAAGTCCTGGACAATTGTTAGTATGACAGTATTAAAATTTGAATAAAATATCCAGATATGCAATTTCTAAAGCATTCTACTGTAATATAACCATTTTAAAATGTTGCTGCTTAGCATCTTAGCACAGAAATAATCAGCAGTGTTTTCCAATGGGTGAATTATCTAGGTTTTCTGATGACAGTCTTCACTTTAAAATTAGTTCCCATTAATATCACTGATTAATTCTAGTAAATAACACATAAGAAATTGTTGAGCCAGGTATGATCACATACCTCATTGTTTTTAAGAATTTGCTCAGAAGCAATAAAAAAACCTCCTTGCAGGTCTTGTGGTTTGATTCACCTAGAAAACAAGAAGAGAAACTAATTTTGTTTGAAACATTTTCATGTGCCATTGTACACTAATAATGTGTGTTAAAAACTTGTTAAAAAATGTGTCAGCCCCAAGACAAGTTAAATTACCTTTCTGGGTCTGCCATCATATTTACATATTGGTTGTAGATAATCAGAAATGCTTATAGAAGAACATCATCTACTGTAGCAGCTCATATACGGATATTATAATGAAATGCTCCAAGCATCTCTGTAAAGCTACTCTGAAGTTCTTCTTGAAAGTATCAGTGAGGTATTATTGGATTTTTGGTATAGAAGTTAATTGTCAGAATAGCTGAATTAGCAGAAATCCGTTCTGAAATGCCCTTTGGTTTTTGTGCTTTAAACATTTGCTTGGTTTCGTTTTGAATCAGATTTCCCCTTTCAATATTATATTCAATTATTAATGTCATTATTAGAGTAGGGTCACAAATTTGTATTTTATTTTTTGTACATGTACTAGTGAATGTGAACAGTTTGGCAGCACTGGTATCCATCTATTTTCTAGACACTTCTTCCAATTCAGGTTTGTGGAGGAGCCAGAGCCAATCTCTGTAAGTAGCAGGCGCAAGGCAGTGTACACCTTGGATGGGGCGCCAGCCCATAACAGACCAGAAACAAACATACAAATCCAAATGCCAATTTTCTCAGAAGGTCAAATTAACTTATCAGTACGAGCACCCAGAGTTAACCCACATGAACACAGGGGAGACATACAAGATACACTCATGTGTAGAAGTGAACCCAGTAATGAGCCCCAGAGTGCCAAGACAGCAGTGATCACCACTGTATCACTGCAGCATTGGTATATTTCATAGAAATTTAGGGAAGGTAGAGGGATAAAGGAAAAACGGTTTCTTCTGCAAATCCATGTTTCAAATTACTTTTCAAAGCTGGTGTCCGTATACATATTGCTGATAGTGAAGTTTGAAGAAAATATCACCTTACAATAAACATGTCAAAGTATGTTCTCTTGTTAGAAAAATATTAGTGTAAAATCGTTTGAAAAACCCAGACACAAATGGAAAATGATGATTGATTAATTTGCAGGTGATAGTGGAAAACCAACAGTCAATAGACTTATACATGTTTTACAATACATATTCCTGAGTGAGCATTTATTCAGTTCTTGCTTAATAATTACAGCAATACAAGAAGTGGTTTCATGCTATTGCTTTGTATATGACTCAGCACACTGTTTGCAAAAGTTGGAAAAAAATTCACAGGTAAAATCTTGCATGAAGCGAATACCTGCAGTATGCCACAAGTAAGCCAAGGCTTCATTCATGCGGACTTCAGATTTTTTCATTTCCAAATGCTAGAATTGTTTAAGTCATGGTGTTTGGTTTTAATACAATAGAAATAACTGTACAATGAAGAGTGTGCTCAACTTGGAAAATGAAAATGTATTTGGACCCCATTCTGGTGGTAATCCTGGAAGTATAATTACTGTGAGAGTCTTTGAGCTCCCGTATGTATTTGAGTTTGTCTCATAACTTTCCAAATACGTACCAATAAAAAGAGCACATTTTCTCCTGCCAAGAGCAGGCTGACAACTTGGAGCAAAGCCGGTGTCATTTTCCGCTGGTGTTTTACTAAGAAGATAAGTCTTTCCTCTACTGGAAAACATGTAGCCATGACGCTGCATTTTAGTTTGATGCAGTAGTTTGGCTGAACCCAGATCAAGGAAAGGCGGTGTGAGGTGAGCTGTGATTTGAATTGGTTTTCTTTATTGACTTATGTCAGGTAGCTGAGAGAACAACAACCTGGACTGGAGGACAAAGATGTCAGAACCCCCGAAAGAAGCAAGAGAAACAGCATCACACTGATGCAGGTCTTTTAAATTACAATTACAGCCTTTAGAAGGTTTTGGTTTGCAGATCCACCAAATAAAGGGATATTAAAGTTCCAGTGGAAGCATAAGTAATATTCCCAATTTATCTAGAGACAGTGGAGAGTACTTGGTGAGAATAATGGTCTAATCTGAGTTTGTTTCCTTTGTCCAGATAGAAAAAGAACTGAGCCACAGCAAGTAGCACAGCGAGGTCCCGATCTTCTGATGATTGACATCAAATAACAGCCGGTGATATGAAACATGCAACTGGGTCAACAAGAGATGTAATTTATATTAAGGTAGGCAGAAATAACCAAGATTCGGGTTTGGCCTCTTTCTGAACTTTTGTTAAAAACTCCATCATGTTTTCAATTCATCCATCTATTTTCTAAGAGCTTCATTCCATACAGGTGACATGCCTTGGGATTGTAATCCTGTCCATAGGTCAGAGTAAGCCCCATTCCCTGTTGAGCCACTCAGCAGCCCAAATAAACCATTTTGAACAGAATTTTAGAAAAGTTTGTACTGGATCATGCAAATACAGTACATGAAACAGTACATCCTAAACCAAAACTTCAAATACCTTAAAATATTAATTTTAATCAATGAAGCACAATAACATCAAAGAGCCTTTAATATCTTCACTTTTGATTTAGAAGATATACACTGGGTTGAGTTTTGAAGCTTTTCATTGCTTGAAGCTGAGCAAGTGTGAGCCTGGTCACTACCTGGATGGGAGAGCTCCTGGGAAAAACTAAGGTTGCTGCTGAAAGAGGTGTTAGTGGGGCCAGTAGAGGGTGCTCATCCTGTGGTCTGTGTGGGTCTCAATA